TTTCACTCTGCCCTCACATGGTGGAAGGGCAAGGGAGCTCTCTGGGGTCCCTTTCACAAGGACACCAATCCCATTCATGGAGGCTTTACCCTCATGACCTAATAACCTCCCAGAGCTCCACCTCTTAATACCATCACCTTGTGGGAGGTAAGGATTTCAACATGGGAATTTGGAGGAGACACAAACATTTAGACCACAGCATTGGATCATGGCCCAGCCCTTGGAAAACACTTCTGTAAACTTCAGCTCTTCTCAGGTTCCATTGTCTGGTGCAAGGGGAGTGAGAAAGAGAAGCCCAGGATGGGGGCCTTATCTTTATGGAGGTGACCCAAGAGTAACAGTCATACTGAACCACTTCCAGTCCTGTCCACTGCTCAGTCTTGGCCACATGAACACAAGTAGCTGCAAGGGAGACTGGGAAATGTGTCTTAACTCTGGGTAGGCTTGTGCCCAGCTAAACTTTGTGGTGTTCTAATACTAAAGGGAAGGAGGGGAAAATGGCCATGGAGACACTGGAAAGGGGTCTGTACCTCACCTAGCTGGAGGTCCAGATGGCCGGTGGGTGAGGCTTCACATCACTCCCTCCTATGTCCTCCCCCAGATCTCGACATGGCAGGAACTTAAGCAGCTGCGGGAACAGATACAGAGCCTAGAGGAAGAGAAGAAGACTATCACGGAGGCAGTGCGGGCCCTGCTGGTGAGCATGGGGGTTATAAGTATACAGGGAATGGCAACAAGGAGGCTTCCACCTGCCAGTAAACAGAAAACCTGATTTAAAGAGCTTGAACAATATGGATATGTATTAGCTCACAAAGCAAGCCAGCCATGGCCCCAGCATTCCCAGGGTTGATTAATTTTCAGCTCCCCTCAGCATCCCCAACCCAGGTTCCTTCCTGCTCTCTGCATCAGAAATTCTCTGCATTGATCTTACCTCAGTTTCTCATCGTACTTCCAAGATGGCTGCATCTCCTTGCTTGACTCTGCCAGAGGCAGACAACAGGGACTTCTTTGGCTTCAGTGTCTTTTTCAAGAGCAAAGAGACCTTTCCTTAAGCATCTAGCAGTCTCCTGGGCCTAGATGCCCCATCCCATACTAGTTCATCAGGCAGAGGAATGGGTTACTGCAGCCTGTTACAACAGGCTACCTGGGGAGGAAGAACAGTCAAGGTTCTGTGGGGCAGAAGGAAAGCGAGATCTTGGGTTTGACAACCAACGGCATCAGCCACAGAGGGTTTAAAAACAATCATGAGTGGGGCGGTGCCTGTGCCTCAGTGGGTAGGACGCCAACCCCATAAGCTGA